TGCCTCTCAATCGTCTTTCTCTGTCCGCCACCACCTCATCGCGCTTGGGCTGCGACAGCGGGAGAGGAGACCTTAGCTCTGCGGCATCCTTCTCAAAGTCGGACCTGGACAAAGGAGCAGAGGCGGGGAGAGCATCCGTGGGTAGCAGAGGTGCGGAGGTGGTCAGCGCATCGGCAAGTGAGTGGTCCACTGCTCCAGGTAGCGGCGACGCGGTCGCTGAAGAAGCGGCAAGAGAGGGCGGGGCGGCGGAAGAGCGAGAGGACCTGAAAGGTCTAAGGAGTTGTTGGCTCAAGCTCGTCTTGGACATCGAAGGCCTTGCTGACATGTCGATTCTGATACTGATCCACGGCTACCTGCCAGCACACTCATCCACAACGGCGCATACAGCCGGCCATTGCTCGCAGTATGTTGGAGAAGCGGACCTCAGCCTGTTCCCGCTGGCACACCGAGAAGCAGTGGGGGGTGTTGAAAGGTGTTGGGAACGTATGAGCCGTGTCTCGCACCTGGGGCGATGGAACGACGTGGTGCGCAGCGAATAGTCGGAACGGTCTGAGTGCGAAAGCAAGGCTTGTGACTGCAACTGATGAATCGTGACTCGTGACTCCTGGTCAGAAGATGAGAATCAAGAATTGTGCATCGACAAACGGATCGATCCTTGCTGCATGCGTGAGAGGCGCGTTGTGAGGTCAAGATTGTGATTGTGATTGTGATTCACGATTCAATTCGTGCTTTCAAACATTCTGGTTCAATTCACGTGATTCACGATTTGGGGACGTCGGTGAGGGAAGTTCGGTGGCACGTGATACTCACGGCTCTCTCTGCTCTGGTCACGTGATGCACATTGTTTCAGCCTTCGTTCCGCGGGGTTATGCACGCGCCGCATCAGAGTCCTGAGTCCTGAGTCATCTCCCATGCATCGACCATCGAAGCGATTACCCATCACTTACTCACTCCACCTCCCATTCTTCATTACAAACTGCTCCCCCCTTCAAACTCAGATCGTCTCATAGCAGCGCACGCATTCGAGCCTCTTCTCTGCTGGGCGTGCGGGACCACGGCGCGCGTCGACAGAAGAGCAAGTTGGAGCAGTGCGTCAAGGTGTGAGCGTGACCTCCTGGCCTACGTGCGCTGTCCTCGGTCATGGCAGCCGAGACAACACGTGTCATGAACGGTCGTAGCAGTGCGGCGGCGGCCGCGTCGTCGTCGTCGCCGCCTTCCATGAATGGCGGAGCGCCTTCTCGACAGGCTCACCTGAAGCCTCGCTCATCCGGAGGGATTCGCATCACCACAGTCAAGCGCAAGGCTGCTCCACCGGGTGGCGTCGGGCCAGGTGCGGCGGCAGGACCTTCTCGCCTTTCC